GTCGTGCGCGGGTTCCCGCCCACCATTTTTGGTACGACTTTGTGCAACGACCCCGCCACCCGGAGATTGCGCAACTAACTACCAGAGGACACCCCCGTCTCAATCTCGAGTGCCCCACGAAAAGGTAGCAAAATGTTGTCGTGCCAAGAATAGCAGAAATGATATGTGCTTCTCGACAGCAGCACAACACATACGGGCCTCGCGACGCTCGGCCGTAGGACCGCGCCGCGGAATACTTGAAAAGAAATCTCCCTCGCTTTCAGTTGTGTTCTTCCGCAGAGACAGTATCGCCAACAACCTAATTAGCACCTCGAGGAAACCCATTCACACTTGACCTACAGTGTAGATATGGCTCGACGCAATGCGCAATCAATCACATTGCACTTCTTTCCGCGCTGCTCATGAACTAGCTTGTCGTTCCCCACTGTTCATTGGTAAAGATATGCGGAGGGCAAAAACCGCACGGGCGGGTAAAATGTTCGCCAAAACCCACGCGACTACGCGTTCCAGTCGGCTTCTCTTGGCAGCTGTGCAACCAAGCTCCATGTCGCCCCCCTTGCGGCCGGAACGCAACGATGACTCGTCCCCCCATGGATCGTGTTTCGATCCTCCAACACGTGCTCGTGACCCCCAACGGCGCCCCAGTAGCCTGGGCCACTGTTCCAACCGCCGCCGTTTTCTCCTTGCCCCACTTGATGACAACCACGTGCCATTCTGGGCTTCCAACGTGCACACACACCATCGTCAAGTCTGCGCTGCGGCCATTGGCGAAAGCCCACCGAAGAAGCGGGAGGTGTCTGTCCCTGGCGGCATTGGAGCACACCGGGACTGGCCCCTCTACATCCGTTCTGGTCGCGTACTGCAGGGCGTCGATTGAGGTGGCCCCCATTCGAAGCACTCGAAGGGAACTTGATTTTTACCCGCTGACACTGACGTCTTTTCATTGGTCAGCCGGTTAGCGCGGTCGATGCTAATAATGAAGACACAACACACACACACTACCTTCGAGCTAGCTCGTTTTTTGTCGATGCGAACTCGCGATGATGTGTTCAAACGTGTTGGGCTACTGATCGACCAACTTCCACCAGGGCCAATCGGTTGGGATCTCTGCGACAACGACAGTATTGAGGGTAATTCTTTTGGGAGTGACGGAGACGAAGGAAAGGGAAAGGTAAGAAAGGAGGGCGAAGACGACGATGGAGGAGGAAAACATGGAGGAGTGGAAGAGAGCAAAGGGTTTGAGCCGGATGACCTTCAAAACAATAAACGTAGGGCTACGGAAGAACTGCCCACAGATTCTTGTCAAAATGTGGATCATAATGATGGTAGCGAAAACAAGGAGGATAGACTAATGGTGCAAGTATTCCTAGACGAACTCGAGTACAAGTTAGTAGCCTTGGTAGTCGCGTGCAGTTTTCTTCTGTTGCTGCTGTTTCTGTCTTTGATCCGAAGTATAGTTTAGCCTCCTCCATGCTGCCCCCTCACGGGGTCCCAGTTCATGGCAGATAGAAATGTTGTGTTTTCAACCGCACTGAGACTGACGACTTTCATTGGTCAGCCGGTTAGCGAGGTCGATGCTAATAATATAAACACACACACGCACACATACACCTCCGGGAAGCTCCCTTGTCCTCCTTCTATCGGTGTGTCGCTCCAGTGATCTCGTTGGGACACGTGACTGCGTCCACGCGTGTTGCGCGATTTTTTTTGGGGGGGAGATCCGCAATACGCTTGATGTCAAAACATTGGGCTATTTTCTGCGGACACCAGAGTTTGAAATGACTCTCTCTCTCTCTCGGTGTAGCTCACCGATTCGGTCGTCGCTGCTGCTAAAGATCCGCTGCCACCAGTCGCATCCGTCATGATACTGTGTCCGCTGTTGTCACGATCCTGTCGGTATGGCCAGGGTGGGGGCGGAATAAGTGCGAGTTTGTTTGTTTTCTCCCATCATTGGACTCTGTCGTCTGCCCCTCTGGCCCCTATCCTCCACTTCTACCGGCTAGACGACCCAACCGGGGTCACATAGAAGGGGGGGGTTGGACTCCTCCTGCGGTTCATGCCTGAGATATTTTTATCGCGAGAAGGGTACAGCAATCCCTTCCCTCGCGACTGATGAAGTCGATCAAGTGTACTCACAACGAGCTTTGCAGCGCGTCGCTTCCAGCGAAGACCAGGATTTACTTAGCGAGAAAAAACTCACTCTGTCAGGACTCGAACCCATCACCTGGCCCTTAGCAGGCTGCGAGGCTACCCACTAGACCACCGGGGCGACGAGTGTTACAGGTGGAAACGGTGGTGCGGGTAAATAGCAGGGTGGCAATGGCAAGTAGTCAGCGCGAACCGACACAAATGTTTTTCGAACCTCGAAGGCCCTAAACACCCAGCTGTGGCACGCGTGCTCCTGTGCCACAGAGGATAGAGAGAATACCCATAGCAGTAGTCGAGGGCAGGTTGCTGAAGCTACCGCGGTCGTGCCTGGTACCCTCCCCTCAATTGTTTGATTGTTGGGGGGGCAACGAAAAATGCGTGCAAAGCTTCGCTATGGATCAGTCTGGATGGGTGTGTATGTGGGCTCCCACCGCATGCCGCACGTGCTGCCCACGCTAGGTCTACTACCTACATACCTCTACGCCCACGCTCCCGTACATCTTACTGCTGCCCCATTCGCTCACGCAGGGCCGCCTTCTGACCCCTGGTTTTGCCTCATGATGCTACGCGTACCGCTTCCGCTGGAGCATTCGCACCACGCGCAAACTAATTTTTTTTTTAGTATATATTTTTAAGATCACACAACAAATCCATCTCTATCTATAAGAAATAAGTCAAATAAGATAGATTAGCAATGAATCCATAGCGTGAGCGAAAGGATTCATGTATGTCTACGGTTTCCCAGACAACATACAACGATAACTCCCCTGTGGGTAACAGGCTCAACAAGGCAGTTTGGTAGCCATCTTATGTAACTAGTTTTTCTCGTTTTTGTTGTCGAGTCGTGTCAGAGCACATCATCAGCAGGGCAGACAGACCACACGCGGGTTGTTTTTCCTTTGGTCGGTGTGACAGCTTGTACACATAGACTACATATTTGGAATGCGCCGCGGATGTATCCAACATGAAACGGGCAACGCCTACAAGCTGGGCCAGCCAAGAAGCTAACATTCAGTCTTTCAGCCATAAANATGTAACTAGTTTTTCTCGTTTTTGTTGTCGAGTCGTGTCAGAGCACATCATCAGCAGGGCAGACAGACCACACGCGGGTTGTTTTTCCTTTGGTCGGTGTGACAGCTTGTACACATAGACTACATATTTGGAATGCGCCGCGGATGTATCCAACATGAAACGGGCAACGCCTACAAGCTGGGCCAGCCAAGAAGCTAACATTCAGTCTTTCAGCCATAAATGTTGAAGGAATCAGAATTGGAACGAGCTCGGCACATCTGCTCAATCAGCCAACCACAGCGGATTTGCCCATGCCTCTAGAAATCCTGTTGAACACATTCTCTCCAAAAAAGACAATCCTCCGCATTTTATCTGGGTTTAAAGAGTCGGGAAAAAAATATATGAAACGCTTTTTTTTGCGGCGGAATTCCATTTTTTTTTGAAGTTGTGCCCAACGGATGCACACAGCACCCGCTGGCACCGAGGAGTGCACAGCATGGAGAGCCTAGTAGCATCAGTCACACGCAATGGCTGGCAGAGAACCTCTGAACCCGTATGCTATCCAGAGAGGTCTAAGGGGAAGCGGCGGCTACGGCTCAATTTCACAAGCCGGAAAGGAGACAGGGCAACGAGGAAGTACGGCCCCTTGTGCAAGTCAGAGCAGGAAGCGCTTGGGGGCAGCCTTGCCTTCAAGTACAGCTGGGAGGGCAGCCAACGAGGTCAGCCCTGCGAGGTCAGCAAGGAGAATCTAGTCCCACCTGTTGCAGCGGGTACTACGCTTCCAGCAGGCAAGTCGTGAACTGCGCAGTTGTACACTTGTACAAACACGATGTGGACATGATCATGCAATTTTGATTTTTTTGTTTTTTCTGGGGTCGGAGCAACGGCAGCACACGTGACACCGTGCCAGCGACTGCTGCTGTACCAACTGCACGCGGCCAGTCATGCCGCAGGCTGGACTTACGTCGAGGATGTTCTTTTTGGGACTTGAAGTAGGTGGCACTCTTACAAAAGAGATGGCGGCGTATGTTGGTTTGTACACGACCACATTTTTTGTGAGATGTGGTCGTCAGCCAGGATTTTGGAATTTTCGACGGCATGCTTCGTACGCACAAGTGTAATCGCCCAACGTGATATCCACGTCCACATGAGTTGCCTTCATTACTCGTCTGTTGTTCTGGTACTAGAGGCGCCTACAGCAGTACGCACAACATTTTTTGCTACAATATGGTACCTGTACACCCCGATGTGTTTGCTGCAACGATGTGCTGCCGTATATGACGTAAGATAACACACCCCCCTGGACGGATTTTGAAAGCTCGATTCATCACCAGCAGAACGAGTCGCAGCGCCGAAAACGGCGGTGTTGAAGCTGTCTTGTCGAGAGCTCTCCGGAAACGTATCGTGTTGTTCATGCATCCTCTTCGTCGTGGAGTAATCGAGCTGTGGAAATCGACCCAGGGGGTGTGTTATCATGTGTCGTACTTCGGTCTGAAAGTAAAACTCTGCATGAAAATGCACCGATGTCGTCACACTTTCGCGAAAGGTTGACCGGTTGTTGCACCTCTGCACATCACGTACTACTTGGGTGATCTCCAACTCTGAAATACTTGCTGCAAGTATTGCTGTAGTGCAAAACAACGAATAACAATGTGCCGCACTGCCTCGTGCTTCAAACTCCCAACCGCCGCTCAAGCAGGAAAATCGCTCAACAGCCTCGGGATCATCGGCCGACCACAGGAACGGCAGTTCAAGCGACAGCGGCNACGTACTACTTGGGTGATCTCCAACTCTGAAATACTTGCTGCAAGTATTGCTGTAGTGCAAAACAACGAATAACAATGTGCCGCACTGCCTCGTGCTTCAAACTCCCAACCGCCGCTCAAGCAGGAAAATCGCCCAACAGCCTCGGGATCATCGGCCGACCACAGGAACGGCAGTTCAAGCGACAGCGGCGGGCTGGCTCCGACGCGACCCGCGCGGAATTTGCGATGCAGCAGATGCTCACCAGCCGCGAAAAACGCTCGATAGAGCGGGGTTGGAGAAGGAGAGACAGAAAGCTTCGAAAGGCCTTCGATCAACGTGGAGCCTACCTCGGCGGCCGGATCAAAGACTTGACGGCAAACGTTGCAGCCAACGAGCAACACATCAAGCGTCTCCAGGACGCCCTCCGGACTGGCCACCTCCCCAGCCTTCTCCTCCCCCTCCCCCTCCCTTCCGTGGAGGACGGTGAGAACGCGGGCGATAGGACGTGGGCCGAGGACACGGGAAAACCGCCGAAGGAAAAAGTAGCCGAGAAGCAGACAAACCGGTTGTGGCAGCAAGCGTACTCATCGTTGGAGGTGCTGAAAGAGGAGCGGGAGCGCGACGTCAAGCAGCTGGAGCTCACGCGGAAGGNAGACAAGAAGAACGCGAAGGGGAAGGTCAAGAAAGGGTACGAGGGGAAAGCGAAAGGGGTTAGGCAGTACCTGTGGGAGCGTGGGTGGTGGAAGGACGGCATGTCAACAGGGGCGGGAGTCAGTGACGATATGCACGTGGATAAGGTTCTGCAAGCCTTGCCTGACTTTAAGACTGAGAGGAAAGCCCTGCAGCACCTGGTAGAGAGTAGGGGACACATTCTTTTGTCGTCTCCGAAGTCTCACCCGGAGGTAGCGGGGGTAGGGATCGAGTACTCGTGGGGGTTTTCCAAGCAGAAGTTTCGGCAGAAGAACAATGATGAGGTCCCGAAGCACTTGCACGACAACATCGAAAAGTCGCTGTGCATAGACAAGTACTTGACAATCGGTCGGGTGCGTCGCTTTGCCCGGCGAACACGAGACTACTGCCGGGCTTACCGCGAGATTGCGCTTCGCGGGGTAGTCATCAGGAGCAAAGGAGTTCATGGAGAAGATGCGCAAGATCCAAAAGGCCCACCGCAACATTTTGGACATGGAAACTAGTTTTCTTGGCGACCAGTAACAACGTCGGCTGGCCGATGGCGAGGGGCTGTCTCTTNTGGACATGGAAACTAGTTTTCTTGGCGACCAGTAACAACGTCGGCTGGCCGATGGCGAGGGGGGGGGGTCCCGAGTTGTGTGTGCATGTTGTGTTTTTTTCTGCGAGATAAACGGGTGTGGCGGCCAATCACATATCAAAATTTCAGGTTCAAATTCGTTAAAAACGGCTCGGAAATCGCTTTAAACCATTAAAAGACTTCTTGGCTGGCCCAGCTTGCACAAGGCGGTGTACGCGATAGGGTTTCCCCTCCTTGTTCTTCGTTAGTCCGCAATGAAGATATCCTTCGTCGTCAGAACTGATTATCATAAGTCGGTGAGCTAAAATGCGACGGATGCGCCTGTACGATAGAATCAAGTAGTCATCCAGGCACGCAATATTTTTCCTGCTCCTGTTGTAGGAGGCGGATGATGCCCTTGCGGCCGTCCACACCCTCCCCATGTGCGACTTCGAAGTGGGTTGTGGCGGAGGGTTAGCTTGGCGGCCACCAATGGTGTCTCTTTGATTGCGCCCAACCCGTTGATTTCGAACCGAGCATTCATCGTGGTCGGCCCGTTGTCAAGCAAAGAAGCTCGCTAGCCTGGGAGCATACCCGCGTCCCGTGTCGAATGCACAGAGGGAGGGGATGTCGCAACCGTTGTCAAGGTTGGTGTAAGCACGCTCAACCATGTGAGCATATCCCCCCCGCTGCCTCAAGAGCCTGAGTCATGCCTTGTTGCGCCCCTCGATGGCAGCGCATAGGGCCGTGCCATTCGAGTCCACGATCCCGGAGTCGAGAAAGAACTTGACGATACCTCCGGTCCAAGGTCTCCTGAGAGCTTCTCCCCCGAGCGCCAGAGGACACCCAAGACAAACTAGCCTTGGTTACCGGCACCATGCTCGGGGTCGCCGTACCCCTTCACCACGTCGAGTCTCGCGAGGTACTGTGCTTGCTGCGAGATAGCTTTTCCCGCCAACCCCGTCTGCCTTGGTTTTGGTTTCGAAACACTCTTAAACGAAGTGATGAACACGGTACCCACCACCGTCCACGTCTTGAAGCAGGCAATTGTTCACCAATTCATCGGGACCTCTTGAGTACCCTCCGTGTCCTACAAATACAAAACAAGGGAAGGTATGCACCCGTGCGGAGCATCCCTGGGTGACGTGCCCATCTCCCTCACCAGGCCCTGGAGGACGGGCATGAGGTTGGTTAATCCGCCCGTCCCCACTCTCATCCAGGAATCACCACAGCAGCAGCGACCAGTACCCTTCACTCATGCCGCCAACCGTAACGGGGGCGACATCCGGGTCGATGAGATTGCCCACAGCTCGTTGGACGCCAGGCCGCTCCATGTAGCTGCGCGGCAAGGCAAGCGTCCCTGCGAGTACTGCAGTCATGTCCGGTAGATGCTAGACGATCTATGATCTACCTCCTTACCCTGCAGAACCTCTGCCTCTCGACGAACTGAAAGCCCCATTGAGATTCATGATGACGAGCTCGCGCGTCACCTCGGCGTCGATCTCAGTCAACTCCTTGTTCATGTTCCCGTGGTCGGCTGCTCTCTTCGCCTTGATGTTGTCCTTGGTCAACCTGCCGTCTGCAGGCACCGCGGTGTACTCGCTAATCAGGCCCGCGACCCTGGCTAAGAGCTCGTTGAGCCGAATTCATTTCAAGCATCCCTGGATTCCTTCGCTTTTGCGGTTCATGCACCTTGTTCCAGCTGCACACATCGTAGTCAAGAAAAAATAGTAAATATTTCTTACTTTAAAGGAGGCAGGCTAGATCTAAAGGAGCAGCTTGACCGCAAAAAATGTCTATAGAGATCATCACGCTAGCCCCAGCATACCTCTATGTCACCTACTTTGCTCTCGGCATCAACAAAAATAGTCACAGCTACGTTCGTCTATGCGACTATGGGGACACTAGGCAGCCTATCGTGGATCCAGCTCCGTCCTTAAAGCCTTGTGTACCCGCCCACATGATATGCCCCAGCAGGGACTGGACACGATCGCGAGATGTACACTGCTCACGAAGGGTGGTCAGGAGCGCACGCTGATGATCGACTCCCGGCGCTGTGTTTCGAACAGATGTGCGGGCCAAGGGTTGGGTTTTGGCGTGATCCCTCGAACTTTTTTAGTGCGCCATCGAATTAGGGAGGGGTCGTGGCTTGGCTATCTGAGTCCGTCTACTTGACTTGAAAATGCTTGGAGTTGTCGAAAAAAGCGGCAGCATTCTCTCCGTCAACATACTTCGGGATGTTTTCAAGCTCAGCACCGGGACGAGTGTATCCACGCGGTGGTGACTTCTTGTTCAGTTTTTGTAGGAGGGCATGACCTTTCTTCGAGACTTTCCTGATTGCAGACGACGCACCGGATTTACCTGACTCATGAAGTGATCAAATCTACACGCCATTCTGCAAATGTATGCAAAACTTTTTCGAGCCCGCAACTTCTTGTTTTTGTTCAAGAGTTCGTCGGGCATGTACGCTTCGTGACCCGGAAATAGATTGAGTCAACTTGGGCCCAAGCGGTAAGGCTCTGCACTGCCTGTATGAAATATGCCATCACGAGTAAAATTGTGGACGTCAGGAGATTTGTTGTGGCAATTACCTTTAGTCACCCGGGGCCCTTGCCCTCTGAAGTATACGTGCGCTCTCAGCAAGGAACGCTGTCACCACCAGCCGAGTGACTATCCCTAAACTCTTTTAATGGGTTTTGACAGATCAAGCACAGGACCTGCCTCGGATCATCGACAGGTCACGTCTGACGACTCGATGTCGCCGCGTGAAGCAATTTCGAAATCCAAAGCGATTTCCTCGAAATTGAGAAAGCAATAGTTTCCTCGAGTTGTCACGAATGGTACTTGCGCCGAGCGCCCTTTACACTTCGACCGGAGGTAACGACTGCTCGCTGTTTCTCATCACCAAGTTAATCGACTGGCCGACCCAGCGCCAGCAGACGATCCCTAGTTTCCCAGAGCGCTGACGTGGTGGCCCGCTGCTCGTGGAATCAAGTCTTAGCGTGTCGAGCAGGCGTAACACACATTTTTTAAAGCCTACGTACTTAATTTGTGAAGCCTGCCGCGGACGACTGCACGGACTCATCACTTGTGCTTTTAGTTAAAGAGTCTGGGTTGCGCGCATCTCCTTCGAGCATCCGCTACTGCTCGGTGGTCCTCTCAGCAAAAATCGTTTGTGGTGACGCACGACAAACGAGCTTCGGGGTGCGTGTCGGTTCCTCGCACGGGCCGTGAACGCATCGCTTGAGAGGTGTTGATTTACAAAGTTGCTCTCGGTCAGTGCTCTCGCACACATGCAACACCGTCAGCCCCAAATTCATCTCGGACTGAGCACAGCACCCGTTAGGAAGAATATGTCCACTTCGCTCGCTTAGGCATCATCACTGATGTTTGCTTGCTCAAAAAGCAATCCCTCGCAGAGATAGCTAGCTCAGTGGCTGGAAGAACCGCACAGACTTCGTCCCTACTGTGAGTCATTCGCACCGCCTTTCTTCTCCTTTCTCTTCCTCCCCCTTTCTTGCTTCCTTTCTTGTTCGTCCCGGCTACGTTGTTCGCTCGCCCTCCTTTCTCATGTGCTTCGTCGTCCTTCCGTGCCGGCCACCTCCCCCTCACCGCTCCTTGTTCGCGTGCCTCCTCCCCTCCCACCTACCTCGTTTCTTTTCCCGGACTTGCGCAGAGTGAAGGTTTGCCGGACCCGTACTACGCCTTCCCCGTCAAACGCGTGCCGTGGCAATCGTTGCTGCTTGCCACCCAACCGTCCTTCGTTGTTCAGAGAACGCCCAGAGTCGTGAGCATCGTTCTTGTTGCCCCCCCCCCCCCCCC